TATACAACCAGGATTGTGTTCGTACTGGGGTCTTAAAATACCATTTTCTATTTAAAAATAAACAAAGAATCCAAAGGCATTTGGTATGCTAGGCACTTGGCATGGGGGAAGAGCTGCTTTCATGTTTAGGGGCTCACAAGGTATTTCTTTTTTTTTTTAATACCTTTATTTTATTTATTTGTTTTTATGTGGTGCTGAGGATCGATCCCAGTGCCTCATATGTGAGGCAAGCGCTCTGCCACTGAGCCACAAATCCAGCCCAAGAGGTATTTCTTTAAAGTGAAATGCGGGAGGTAAGGTAGCCACCTTTCTGAAATACATTCAGGGGGAAAAAAAAAAAAAAAAGAACTCTTTCCTCTTAGTTTACTGAAATCCTATTTTACACTTCCAAGATGAAAGCTAAATTATAATCAAGGCTGTCTAATTGCTTTAAACAGACATGCCCCTCGGGCTGATAAGTATTTAGAGTAGTGAATAGCTATGGTGATCAACACTTCAAATATGAATCAACTGGTATTTAATATGTAGCCAGTATTATTCTAATTCTCATGGGTACAGTCTGACCATATTTTCTTAAACCAAAATCATAATATAAGTACTAGAGGCAGAGAAAAATAGAATATATGGACAAGGAAAAATAGAGCTTACTATATGCCAGGCAGTATTCCAATTGCTTTACACATATTAATTACTTTAATTCCCTCAAATATATAATATAGGTATATTATCATTGCCATTTTATAAATGAAGAAATTAAATAAGTTGCTCAGGGCCACAAAGCTAATATATGAAGCTGGTATATGAACCCCAGAAGTCTCATATTGAAGCCCGTAAACTAACACTAGATATGAATTATAACATACATAAATTATTATAGGTCCCCGTACTATACTAAAAAGTTCATATCCATCTGAACCTTGCATGTGACCTGTAACTATGACTTATTTGGAAATAGTCTCTGCAGAAGTAATTGAATTATAAGGTATTCATACTGGATTAGGATGGGTGTTAATACAATAGAGACAACTCTGGGCACAGACACTAACATTGAACACCACATGACTAAAGGAAAGGAGTTGGAATAATGCTTCTATAAGCCAAGGACTGCAACCACAAGAAGCTAGAAAGAGGTGAGGAAGCATCCTTCCCTAGTGTGTCTGGAGAAAAGTTCTTCAACAAGCTTTGCTTATCAACCAAGAATGGCACAAAATAGCAAAAGTGTTACCTATTGGGGGGTTATCAAGGATTTTAATTCTATGGTTTATATTTAATCATCTCCAGAGTCTTTCTTAGTAACTGTTGTAGTATACTACTTGGAATACTGTTTAAATTCAAGTAAATTTTGCAGTAAAATTTTTAGCTAGTTGCTCATAGTTAAGAAAATAATTTTATAGACATTACCTCTATATTCACAATAATTAGGAGTCACAAAGGGACAAATTATTATAAAAGGTTTTCAAATTCTGAAGTTTCTTCCTTAAAAGACCATACATGGATTAGTTCCATAAACTCAGGTGCCATTATTTTCTCTTTATGTATGAGATGCAACCTACTCCACTTCTTTACTCCACATCTTAGAAAGAGTGTTCCAAAAACTACTTGAAAGTACATATTTGGAAACAAGAGACAATTTTTCCTAAATAAATCCTATTATACCATAACAGATACCACCTACACCAGGCTCCAGGCTAGATACCATGCATACTTCACCAGATTTAATTCTCATTACTGTTCAACAAGGCAGATGTTAAAAGCCCACATCTCTCATTTTAAACCCTGGCAACAGATTGGTTTCAGATTTCAAATTTTCTTATTTTAGAAAAATAATATGGCACATATAATATATATTACTGAATACCTTTAGTGGGCTCTAGGGTAGTACTTAGCTACCAAACAGATGAATATTTCTCCATATAAATATAACTATCACAAGGAAGAGGATGAATTAGAACTCCAAATAGCCTAATGTTGATTCAGAGATGATTTTGCTGATAAATGAGTTCAAATGAGGTC